GGCCGGCCAATTTTAAAGACTATAGCATTATTTAAATAATCTATGTTATTATCCGAAATTGTCTTTAAAATACATTGGTCAGTTTTGTCCACATAATAAAGCAACCTTTTCAAATAAAACACGATATATATATATAATTAAATTTGATCATAAAACATTTGATGTAAGTTATAACTGGCGTAAATAGTCACTTGTTAATTGGGTTCTATTTGAACATAACTATTTTTAAACATTTAAAAAAAATTCTTATGCCTCAGGCGAAATGTTAACATAAACGTCAATTTCACTTAAAAGTAGGCAAAAACGTGTGTATTAGAGAACTGTTACAATTGGTTTAATGTAAGTAATACTTAGCATTCGAAAATAACAAAAGTTAAAAAACAAAAAAAAACTATCGACAGATCGATGGTTGATGTCAATTTCTGTAAAAACTATAATATAACATCAATTAACAGGGTAACATTACTTAAACAGTACTGTACTTCCCTACAGAATCTACGAATTTTAAACGAATCCTTGTCTTTACTGAAAAAATAAATAAAAACAAAACATTACAACATTTGCAAAGAAGTGGAAAATACTGGCGACCAGTGTGACAATTACATATGATGCCATGATATTATTTGCTACATTATTAATTAGTTTTTTAGCTTATACCGTGCTTATGTGGAGAATCAACAATGAAAGAACAATGGTATGTACAACCCACTGTTTTGTGATTTACAATGTGTGATTAGATACAAGCTGCATCCGAGTCCTTTATTCAGACTTACAATAAAACGTTTTCAATAATAATTATATCCAGACAGAATTTGAAGAATAAAAATGTTAATATCAATAAATAGGTCTTTACTGTAAATAAAATAAATGAGCTTCCTATACAGGTAGTCACAGAAACTATATCTTTATTAACAACAAAACGTACTTCCCAGCATATATATTTGTTTTTCAACCTAACCCTTATATTAACAGTTTCATCGTCACTGGTAACCTGATGAAGGGCTGTTGGCCGAAACGTCGTTTTCTTGTTGTATTAATAGTTATTTTAATTTGGCGAGTTTTTCACCACTGCTTTATATTCTATTTTGCAATTTATTTTTTCGCCTACGTAATTATTTTATTACTCCCAATAATATACATATTCACTATCATACAAATCAAATATTTTTACATGATTACAAGATTAATACAATCCCTCACTAATTTATATATAGGTTATATTTATTCTAATAACACGAATACTTAATCGCCGACTTCGTTATCGTACGTAATTCAATGTTTCCAGCCCCCCCCCCGAATTTTTTTCTTAAAACAACTTAAGTGAAACAATAGTTAATAACAAAAATAAGTTCAGATTTAAACAAATCTCGCATTTAATGATTTTCCGACAGACGGCTTATTATAAGGAATGATATATACAGTGCTCTTCTCCACATACGTGTTAATTCAATCTGAAATAGACTCCATTAGATATCTTCACGTGCAAAGTTTTTAAATTTGGATTAAGTATTTAAAAATATTTAAATATCATCTATTTCAATAAGTGAATTTTTATAGATTTATTCAGTAGCATCTAATATTGATGAATTTGCAGTTAAAAGTTGAAAGAAAAAAACTTTATTAAATCTCACAGTAGTATTAACAACAATGAATTGATAGTACTGAGGTTGTTCACCCCTCGTTGTTATATTAGTTCCAAACTTAACAACTCGGTCACTTTATTTTTATAAAACTACTCACTAATACTTACGATATTACATATTTGGGTCAATAACCCCCCCCCCCCCCCTTTACCAGATCGTGCTAAAGATAATTGTCCTACTTTCTGACCAGACAAGAAGTTTGTGAACAACGACAAGTTTTACTTCATGATATTACGCTTACGCGGGTAGATCGATGTAAACAGAAATAAGTGGAATCCAGACCAACATTAATTATACAGGTTAAAGTAATAAACTGTTGTTAGCACACTACTTCTTTCCAAGTGATTTGTTTCCCCCAAAATGAACAGGCTGCTGTGAAGAAGGGTTTACTAGTTTCTCTACCATACAGGTGGTGGAAGAAATATTATAAGCAAAAAACCACCATCTTCAATTTTTTACGTGGGAATACTCCTTGTAGCACACAGTCGTATAATTTGATTTCACCGCTGTCCAAATTGGTTCTGAAAACCAGTTCAAGACGAAAGCGGGCCTCTTAGAAAGCGGGCCGATAAGAGGCATATGGGAAAAGGAATATAAAATGATTAAATGTGACTTCTGATCAACTCGAAGATAAAAATCTTATCAACTGCTATATAAACTTGTTAAACATTTTCGAGGAATTAGAGGCACGCTCAAAGATTGAGCTGTTTGAGTCCTTTGTGAAGAATTTCAATATTATGTCAACTTATATTGGTAGAGTTTGGTTACTATATTATTTTTATGACACGCATTATACAAGATAAGATGTAAACAATATATATATATATATACCAGTAAATTTCAATTAGGATCTAGCAAGTTTTTCTTGCTAAAATTGTAACAGAATACAAAATCAAACTAATATTTAAAAAAAAAGGAAATCGGGATAAGTCATAAGTAGTATCAAGGTCTGTTGCGACATAAAATCTAAATTTATGGATGGAAACTATTGGGTTCTATTCAAGCTTCCTTCCCTTGTACAAAAAAGAAAGGTTTTTAAACAATTGTGGTTAAAGAGAAATAACTGTTAAAATGTATTAGAACAAAACAACAACTAGTAAGTTATAGTTAACAGTGAATTCACAAGAGAAGAACAGAGGGAGGTCGCAAAGAACATCATGGAAAGATCTTTATTCAGTTTTTTTTCTTTTTTTTTTAATTGTTACTGCTGTTTCCACACATTGTGGCTATAGTCCACAGTTTGTTTCGGCAACAGTTGGGGCGAAGATCAGTAAACAGGAAAAAGGGGACGGGAGCAGTAAGTGGTAATCAACAGATGGCAAGCAACTATCATCCGATATCCACGCTGTAGCAAGCCTGTAGGGAGGTATCGGAAGGTCGAGTTGAATGAACACCAAAGCAGCAGTAGTATTAACGCAAGTTTAAAAGACCTAATCCCTCAGGCTTTGACAGCTGGTGTGCTGAAAACATCTCGTACGTTTCGCTATATATAACAAGAACATCAGGTCACAGCCCCTTTATTAACGTATAGTGGACATTACGGTGATTTTATATAACTAGCCGCGATCCGCAAAACGTTTTCGGTAGTTTTCATGTCCTTCGCTTGAATTTACCTTATTCTATCATTTTACACGAACGGTATTTAAGCTAAGCTTTCTTGCAGGCATTGTGTGTTAGATGATAAATCCTGGTCTTTTTTTTTTAAAAATTACGCTGTCAGACAAACAAATTTACGTACACGTAAGTTTATTTAATACACGTAAAGTATACAATACAGTAATGCTATTTATAATAGTGTACAGAGTAAAAAACAGTTATGAGGGTTCTGTGTACGATAGTTTTACGAGTTGAAACAAATAATAATAAAACTCCTATTAAAGGAAAAGTAGCTAAAAGGTGTTTATAGCAGTATATAAAACGAACTAAAGTTAAATGTAAAGTTATAATAACTTAGCTAAATATGCAGAAACGTGTGAATGCGTGTCAGAAAGTGATATGCATATGGTTTTGAATAAACTGCGCATGCGTATTTCAGACCGAAATATGTCCATAGAAATTGCATTTAGTGTAATATTCATTTTTTAAGAAAGTTACACGTGGATTAAGTGTAGTTTATGTGAAATACTTTGTAAATAAAAGAACTAAAGTTGAAATCGAAGCCAGTCGTTACTTGATGACAACGACATTGTGCCATCGTGTAACATATTCGTTGCATTAAAAAGTTGACTATGGAAAAATCGGGCAAGGTGATTCTGAATGGAAAATCCTATATTCAATCCAATTCGGACTTCTTCCGACAAAGGATTTCTAACGATATGAGATCTGTTGCGTGTGATCGAAAAATTGGAGTGAAAAGTTCTAGGATGCAAGCGCATTATTTATAGACGTATAAAACAAAACATCCATTCATCCGGCAGATTCCTGTATTTTTTTACTAAATTCAATACAAGCATCGATTATAACTCAATAAATAAAACACAATTATGTGAAGAAAGTTCTTTGTGGTGATTACTCTGTTAATGGTAGAATGAACAAGTAAATAAAAAGAATTATTTGTAATTAAATGTGCTTACAAAAGTTCATGAAAAGTAACTAAATTAACTTCAAATAAACGTTAAGGATTTCATATTTAATTTATAAAGTGAGAAAAACAAGAAACATGTAGCTCATCTGAAATTGTTCATTTAAACACCAATTTATAATTATTAAAATGAAATTTACAAAACAAATACATTAACATTTCAATCAGAATTATGAAATAATTTTATTTTTCTACTTATATAACTAAATAATGTATACCTGCTCAGACTATGGTTTATTTTGAACAGCTGGATACTGTAATAATACCATATACACACACACACACACACACACACACACATACATACAGTTATGTGTTTTTGTAATTCCTATAGTATCAAGTATCAAACACCTCCGTACACAAGTGAATAATACAGAGTTAGTTTTAATTATTGTAAAAAAAATATATATAGTATTTCAATGTTTATTAACAAACAGTAATAATATCAGAAGCAAAACTAGTCATTTGTTTCACACATATTCTCTTTTAATTTAATCATAAACTGAATTTGTTTGAAAATGAAGTTGAATTCATCACATTTTAAAATTATTTCATAATCAATTTTTCAACCATGAAAACAGATATAAAATTTAGTTTGCCAGAAGATAAAACTACAATTTTGCAAACTGCCAGATTTTGATCTCGGTCTGCCTTCAGATTTAAACTTGAACAAGTATCATTACCAGGTTTTACTAGATCTGTATATTTGCTACACATAACTACAACAGTCCTTGTGATTAAAAATTTATATACATTATTGAAATACATTTTATTACCTTCTGTACTGCAGTGTCCAAAGAATTCTTACTGCTCTTGCTATAAGAAACATTTCCAAGAGAATCAACGTCTGCGGCACCTGTTCCTATTGCTCTTCCAACTTTGTAAAACCTCCCTTTCTGAAGCAACTGACCACTAGCTACAGCTCTTTTAGCAGCAAACCTGAGCTGTTTACTAAAATCCAAGCTAGTTGTAGATAGATCGACTGTACAAGTTTGCTTTATATATTTTTCTATAGAGCATAATGTTACTCCACCAGTATCTCCCAGATCCCTGATTACTTTTTGCAGTAATTTCACTAAGTCTGTTGTCTTTGTTACCCTAACATATGTGGGTTTCACCTGAAGAATTCCATTTGGGTCTTTGTAGGAACACAAGCCTTTGTTGAAGACCTAAATAAAAATAACAAAATAAATATTGACCAATAACACAGACCTGCAAATTTAAACTTCATAAAAGTTGTTTTGGTTTCGTAAGTAATATTAATTTTTCTCTATCATGTAAGGATTTTTTTTTTTTTACAAATCGGGAAGAAAAAAACAAAAAACTTACTTAGATCAAATTATTATTTTTTATTGTGTTTGTTAAAAAAATACAAACAAACTGAAAGGAAGAACACTGATGTCAAATGAATATGCATTCCTCATTCATCCTGATTTTTTTTTTGTCAAATCTACTTATGTTAGTCTCAAAACTAGATGTTGTGATCTTTCTTTTATTGAAACATACTTTTTAATGACAATTATACAAGACAGACTAAACAGTCACAAAATGCAGACTTTAGTCTTGTAATCCTTAGTCTATATACTGGGTTAACTGAAGGGTATATCATTCTTGCTACAACATAATTCCTTTAATACAGCTGAAACTTACAAAAGGCAATAATAAAATATAAATCACCACAATACTCATTCCCTGTAAGACAATACTGTCCTGTTTACCAATAAGTATTTTAGCACTAACACATCACATCAGCAAATCATTTTATGTTTTAACTTTTCATAATGTTTTTTTATTGATATTGCTGGATGCTATATTATACTGTTGTGAAAAAATACTGTGCTTCAGCTTTTACTCCCAGTCAGGTGGGATGCATGTACAATTTAGTTATTTTTGATTCCTTTCAACTCAAAAAATGTTTTTAAATCAAACTTAAACGGACATTTATTTCTTTAATTAACTGTAGTAGCGGATGTTAGTATTAAAATGTGTATATTCAAATATTGAAGCTTCAGTTTGCATAAGTTAACAGTAATGATTTGTATAAAGTGTGTGTGTGTGTGTGTGTGTGTAAAAAAAATTGGTTGCTCTCACCACCGTATGTAGATAGATAAAACATATAAATAAAATTATTTTATAAATTACCCAGTAATGGAGAAATAGAAAAATTGTCACAGTGAAAACATATGCATATGTTGTGCATAGATCTTAAATTTTCCTTGTACAGCATATAATACCAAAGCATGTACACGTACCTAAACAATGTAATCACAACAGAAATATTTTCAAACTTTCACTCATGATTGGTTTATCATAGAACACTTCAACTAGTGTTTGAATGTTGTTGACCAGTCTTTCTACTACTAAGCTGTGATAATAAACATAAAGTATCCATGTGAACAAAGTGTTGTTGAAATGTTAAATGAACTTTTTCATCTACAAATGTACAATAGGACAGTGAAGTATAATATAAAAATTTCCAATTTTATTGTGAAAATGTTAAATAATATTTTTTAACATGAAGTATTATATTTGAAATAGTGAACTACATAAATCTGAAAGTCCTATTGTTCTTTACTTTTTTTTTTAGCTTAAATTGAATGCAAGGACTACACCTTGATAAGGAAACTGCACCGAAAGCTAACTCGTACTAACACTAGTCCCTTATACCAACTGTAATAATAAAATATACTCAATATTAACAATAAAAATATTACCTTTAACACTTTACCCTCAGCAACAGCCTTTTCTAATTGTTTCACAATAAATTCTCGGTTTACTTTGTGGTTTTGACGTACAGCACTACAGATACGATCGATAGAAGGTCGTTGTTTCTGGTGCTTGATCTTATGAATGGCTTCCAGTAGCCACTTTGTCCAATTGATACTTGTTTGTGTGTGCTCAACATTACCATTGCTCCCCATCTCCACAACATTGCAGCCACTAGTACCAGAACCACTCGCCTCAGTGTCCTTCATAGCAAACAGCAGGGTGAATCTATTATTGCAAAAATCATTTTGCTATCATATATTACAATTTTCCAGTCAATATCACAAACGGATTTTTTTACCCAGCATCCATACTGTAACTATTTCCAGGATCTTGGTTGTCAAGCATTCAACACTAAAGTGGTACCTTTGTTTTTTTTGAAGAAGCTTGACTTTAGTGCATTTTACACCTGAAATAAGAGAATATTGTTACATACCTACAACAACAATTAAGAATTCCAAAACTTCTCTTTCTATTTAAACCTACAAATGCACATACATAAACCAATAAGTCTTACTAAATGCTATAGATATTAAACTTATTCCTCTATCTTCTTAAAGAAGGTAGTATCCCTTATACCACAGTCATCTGGCACAATATTAATCATATGACAGGATTATTAGGTCACATATTTTTAACAAAACATAAAATCAAAATCAAGCACACATTTGTGTCTATGAAGCTACACACAGATTCACATGGCAATTCAATTATAGATATAAAAGCAATGATCCACCATTTTAGCCATGCTTTCTAAATTTCTTTGAAACAATATGAAAACAAACTATGTAGAGACATTCAATATCATTGAAACAATCTGGTTATATCAATCAATCAAAATTAAGATTTGAAGGACAAACAGCAAACACACTGCAGCTTGCTAATAATCAAATATACAGGTCCTTCACATTTGAAAAATGTACAAAGGCTGTAAACAGCTCCCACCAAACAGTCACAAAGGGTGATTAGTGGGCTGATGCCATATCTCGATTCTTTGTTTTCAAAATTAGACAGTAAAAATTCTTCTGTATTGACTAAACTGTACTGTTTTTCTATCAACAAAACACTTTTGTTGGCTAAATTGAGATATGATCATAGCATACCACCAAACTACGATGACATCCAGTAAGTGTGTGGGCAGTCTTGGATCCTGTAGAAAATAATTCATCAAATGCAATTTAGGTTACAAACATATTTTTTAAAACACTTCTTGTTCAACTGAATTTGTCAATAATTTAGATTTAGTTTTGTAATTTAAACTTTAAAACAATGACTCAGTTACAAATATTTGATGTTTATAAATGAGAAAAGTTTGAAAATGTTATATTACTGTGTGTGTGTGTGTGTGTGTGTGTGTGTGTGTGTGTTTTT